ATCGAGGGTTATTCATATTCAATTTCTGTGGTGTTTTGTGTTGGTTATTATTGTGTCTCTCAGGATAAAACAGCGCGGTCTTTTGTGAGCATACGTGGGGACATGTGTCCAAAATTTAGAGGTCCCTACAAACATTTAAATAATACTTTGTCAGAGGTACTCAAAGCAAGTATCAGCCCTGGTGGAATTAATAAATATACCCGGTTTCCGTGACATACAGTAGTGCTATTGCAGGGAGAAATACAAATCAAATGTATACTATTATTACCCTTAAACCATAAGATCGTCGACTGATATTTAATGAAATTTTGTCGGTATTCTTAGTTACAGAGATGGAGGAGGGGGAGAAGAACACGCCGGGTGTGATACGCAATACGCGCGACTACATCCAACCCCCATCACCTGCGCCTATGTCCATCGCTGACTGTAGCATCACCATTGAAAATGAAGACATTTCCTCTGCTACGTCCACCTCAAAGTGAGTCAGTCTACATTTATAGTATATGTTTTTAAAACCAATGAGTACAAATCGAATGCAGCTGGCTGACTACATTATTCGCATTTTTTGTAAATAGCAAAACATTTTTATTAATCATGATGTAACCTGTCTATCGTTGTTCAGATATATTTTTATACAGTACAGACAGCACAATCATCTATTTGACCCAGTGTTATCCAGTTTTTAGGCCATCTACCCTTATTACTTTGTAAGTAAACAATATCAAATTACGTAGGTACTGATTATTGTAACCATAATGTTTGCCGATTACCGGTACCGTAAAATTCACTAATAACAATTCTTAACTAACAAACATCAAACAAAGTTTAAACAATTAAAAATATTAATGTATAGTATAAATGTTAATTTATGTTCAGTCAACGGTAGGTCAATCTATGCAAAAATGATAAATTTATTCATTGATATAGAACTCCCATGGGTTTGGCTTTAAGTTGAATATCCGTTGAGAAAATTTTACATTTTGGAATAAACGGTTGTCTGTAAGTTAGCGAGGTATGGAAAATCAAATTAAATTGATATGGCATTGAATAAAAAGACGTATGGAGACCAAGTGTAAAAATAATAAATAAATGTTTTACAAAATAAGTTAATTTGATGAATGTTACTTCGTTTTGTTTAGTTTTATTGGCGCTATCACTAGGTGAAGCATTATTTTGTCCATTTGTTACATTCTGTTTAATTAATGTTTATCAGTCCAATCAAAAAAATATATTTCAATAGGTACTCTTAGTACCTATTAAAATATACTTATTATTATTGCAAATACAATTAATAATAATATACCTAACCTCACGACCGCAAATAAATGCGAGGGCTAAGTAAATTGCTCGGCTACGTTCCGATCGCCTCCTAATTTTATACTTTGGGACACTTGCCGTACCGTCTTAAGAAAGCAGTGTCTTTTTCAGCAAATTAAACAGTGTTATGCATATAAGTGTGCCGTCTTATACTTTAGAAAATAAAATTTAATAATATTTTAAGTAATATCATTGTAAATAGTAGTAACTGTTGAAATAAAAGAAATGTTTTTAAAATAGGCGATAGGTGGATAGGCGTGTCGCTTACCACCAGACACACGACTTGTTCGTCCCGTCAATTGGTATTATAAAAAAAGATTGGCTCACAAATGCTGAAGTTCCATAACATTGTTGTTTCGAATTTAGTAATATTGGGTGGGTTCAATCCTTTTTGTGTAAATTTGTAATCGTCACAAACGTTATTTTTATGTATTTATAAAAAAGTTTCAAACAATCTTGACATAGGTTTTGATAGTCTTGAGATATCGAATTTTGCGTAAGGCATTGTTATTTAATTATTAGGCGCAAGTTAAATAACTAAAATAAATAACAAACTTATAATATTTACTTAATTACAAACCTTTTGATACCAAATAATATTTCTCTAACTTCGCAAAATAAAGGAGCAATAATAAAAGAGAATCAAAAATCTTTAATGCTCAATATCTGGAAATTGTCATTCTGTGGGTTAACACAAATATACATAGCACCATCCAAATAAGATAGCACCGACAGACGGCTAAAAAATTTCAAACTACATAAACTTTCAATCGGTTAAAAGAGATAGAGCATGATATTGACAGCTACAACAACAGTATTAAAATTCGTAAAACTGTGTTGCAAATACTGTTTTCTATACTCGATTACGCTTGTTTTAATAAATAAGAATGTGTTTGAATTGTTAGTTTTATGACAATCTTGGTAAGTTATAATTTTAGGCATAAAGGCAAGACAGCAAGACCACGAACGCAAGACCAAGTCTAATTTTAGTCAACACTAATCATGATGGAAAATGGAAAGTATGTGTATCGTAATTGATTCGATGTAAATACAAGGCTATGTATTTTCCCTTGATTTGTTGGAATGGGCCATTTATACATTTGTAACAAGCTGATAGGAATCATAATTATATCTGGGTTAGCCAGTAATTACTACGTCTGTACATTTATATAATGCACCTGCCTAGTAAGAAAATTTTATATGTATAGAAGATCAAAAAGATTGATACGGAGTCAAGAGCTCGTAAAGTTGCACTTAAAACTTAAAATCAACGCTGCTCAGGACAGTACCTATTTTTCATCGACTTCAAAAAAAGGAGGAGGTTCTCAATTCGACTGTTTTTTTTTTGTATGTATTACGCGATAACTCCGGTATTAGTGAATGAAAATCGTTTCATGATTCTTTTTTTGGTGGAAAGAGGGTACTTTCATAGTGGTCTCATTTAATTTTGAAGAAAATCATTCTCCTCTAAGGTTGGCTGTTCACGCATGACGTTTCATCTTTATAAATAACGCTTAAATTTTATTATGAGGAGCAATTATTTTAATGGTTGATTTTGCTATTCTCCAATTCAAGGTGTCTTTCTCTCTCAATATACTTTGAGTAGTGAGAACCGATTTTTATTACCTCCTGTGTCAAGTTCCGTATAGTGGCGAACTAGGGGATGAATCCGAGTTTGCCCACTTTCCGGTAACCGATTTCAATAAAACTTGGTAATTATATGTAATTCCATGTACTTTTGAGGTCGGTTTTTTTAGTATTCTGTACTGAGATTATCGATACTTTGAACAATAACACAACATAACACAACAATAATGTTTTCTTATTCATAAGAAAAAATTACAATCAGCAATTGATCTGACTGCGGAGCGAAAAAGAAAAATCTGCTGATTTCTGAATCAGAGTTGTTTCTTTAGTCAATTGAAACTTGTACACACACTCCATAAATATAAATACAAGTGGATTGTGCACGTATAACCAAACGCATCAAATACAATGTAACCGAGTGTTAGATTAGTTCTGCAACAGTGTAAATAGTTATATAAAGTTTATTTACCTTAATATAATATGAAAATTAATCACCTTGTTTGGCCGTCACTGGCTTGATGGCAATAGATAAAAGGTTATCTCTAGCGCCCTCTAATGTTTATCACGTTTTCTGGAACGTTCCTTCCAGGTGGCTAGAATGAACGCGTTAAACATTACATCTAAAGGTGATCACTGCGTGAAAATTTCCACATAAACTAGTATCCTCTTAGGTATCCTCTTAGGTGTCCTACTCTGGACATCTGTGTCAAGTATGTAGCAATAATCCAGTTAATGTAAAACGGGTAGTCCAGCTGCTAAAGATTGTCACGCCAAACCATTTTAAAAAGAAATTTATACTATAAAACAGTGACACATGCATTCCTTCCGCAATTATTACATAAATAGTACAACATTTACGAACTCTTAAAACGTACTCAGTGGTCCTACGCACAAAACTTTTAACTCGTTTTCTGTAAATTTTACAAATGTACGTTAAGCCACGGTGTCACCAGAGGTGCGATATATGACGAAGCTTTCAAATAAAATAAATTTTCTTTCTTTTTTAATCTTTTTTTAATTTGTTTTCAACATCTATTGATAATGTTTCATTGTCTCAAGGCAAAATGAACATAAAGTTTAGGTCAACGAGACTACTTCAAAACTATATCTATAATTTGACGGGAAATTGGCAAATCCTGAAACTATACATTAGTTTCCAGATCTTGTCTACAGAACGTTATCGAGTTTATATACAAAATAGGATCTAACTTCGCTTGTAAGGACCGCGCCGTCCTCTTGATTAAATTTATCCGTCACTGCAACTGTGTGTGACTTCTAAGCGCATTTACAATTTCAGTCCAAGTCGTTGTTGTGCCACAACTGAAAATACCTATAGAAACTATTTTATTCATTTCAAATAACTGTATGACTGGTCAATCATCTGAGTAGATGTTAGCGTAGTACTACCTTTAACGTATTAAGAAATGTATTATTATTATACAAATGACGTGTTACGTAAACTAAACATTTTTTACAGCTGTAATGATGACTTGCAAAAATTTTGTCAAGAATGTTCGCTTTTGCGTTTTAGTGTCTAAACATATAATATACATATAAACGAAGAATATTACGGTGAGTTTTGATATGAAAACGTACAAGCTAAATGGTTTTGTCAAAAAACCACTCTAATGGCAAGACTGCGGTTTCCATTACAAGTTACTATGCGAGTTATATATTTCTTTTCAACAACAATACAAATTATAATTGAAAAGAAACCTTGCAGACAAATCTAAACTTAAAGTAGAAACTACTTGGGTTATCAGCAGAGTTATCTGTCTAGACTCCTTGCTCTAGGTACCTAAAACACGTTTTGTTATTGCGTGTTAGAAATCTAGTTTGTTGGTCGCTGGTGCAATTTACATAACTGATATAATCAAGTATTGGAAGAGCTGAAAGCGGTAGAAATGAACTCCTTTTGAAACAGTGTGCGCACATTCATCAACTGAGTGACAGTGTGCGGATCGATGCCAAGTGTCTGTGTGCTGTGTTGGTGCTAAGTGCGGTCCGGTAACAGGTGCTGTGCGGCTCTCGTTGAGTGTTAATAAATCAGGCTGGAGTTCTCTACGTAGAGTGAGGGCTCGGTCTTACATCGCCCTTTATCAGTAGCCGGCAAACTGCGTACATTGCCGGGCGTCCAGATAAAGGATTTGCAGTTTGTTTATATGCATTGCATGGCGTGAGGTGCGGGCGGGGCGCGTCAGTGCGCGCGCGATGCGTCCGGCGATGCACGCGTGCTTGGCCGCTGATGCGCAGTAGATCATTGTCCACGACAAGATTCGCACTATGGCTGATTGGTCTATGCTCGATCGCGAGTGGCCACCCGACCTATCCATCGATAACTATTCCTACGGTCTAAACTTGTACTATCAAGAGAAGCAGTCGATGTCCGAATACCTGCCGCCGCACGCGCAGCAATACCAGCCGTTGCCGCCTCCGCCGCCGTCGCCCACGGTCACGCTGTTGCTCTCGCCGTCCCAACTGCCTCCCGCTCCTTGCGCTTCTGCCTTCAATGAGTACGCTGTCGTGCCTAAGCCGTACGTACTACTTACTCATTTTGTTGAATTTGTTTTCCTCTCGCCTTCTCTCGTTTGTTATTGCGTTTTCTAATATCTAAACCAATGGGCTCTAAAAGCCTTGATTACACCGTAAATATTTTGATCTGCATAAGACTAATGAGACTATAGTTTGTAATGCCAATTTTAGATATATTATAAATTAAGCTATGCTAGACAATATCTATTACAAAACATGTTTTATGTACGTATTTCATATTTACTATGAAGTTAACGGTGGTAATAGTGTCAACATGGCAGGATGGTAACTCGATACTGGAATGTGAGAGCGAGCAATGAGCCGTCAGCGGCGCAGGCAGGGTAATAGCACCCACGTGTGTGCGAAAGCACGGGCTCCCATTGCCTCCGCCCACCTTGTTATGGACTATCTTTGTAGATGCAATACGTCACGCTGTTATTTTTATAATAATCAATTATAACCATCTTGTCAATTAAGTGCTCATAGTAACCTTTTATAAAAATAGAGTTCATAGTGGAATTCTGCAATAATTTTTTGAACATGCCAACCAATTTTATGTGCCACTACTCTACACGCATCCCCTGTGATAACAGTTTCAGTACTGTTGTGTATATAACAGCTTTCTTTTCCAAGACAGAGGTTGTGTAAGTTATGAGTACAAATCTCGACTAGCTCGGAATTTTTCCCATTTTAGTCCGTTTTGATTTTTATTATTTATGTTCATATCGTTTTGGGTTTATTATATATAAAAGATAAACGACGATTTTCTTGTTTTTATGAACTTTTAATATGATACTATAAACGATTTGCAACGGAGAAGCATTTTTTCACAAATAAAAGTACTTCTAAGTGTGTCGTACTTACTTAAGTTGAAAAACATGACCGAAATCACTATCTTGTCTGCTTGGCAGATGTTTTGTTACAAATAATAAAAAGCTCGAAGGTGCAAAGGGCATAAAAAAATTATCAATATCGACCCACAATTTAATCGTTACTTCAAAACTAGTCGTTCTTGATAATACATAAGCAACACATTTTCACAAATCAAGTTAGTATATTTGTCCAATGCCAATTTTCCGTCTGTATATCGATTTTACGGCTTACAATTCTACATATACATCAAAAGTGGATAAAGCACATTTTTGCCAATTACTGAATCTCAGAATTTTTATTCTTTTTTTTATAGCCGACGGATATTTTGGTCAATATTATAATTTGAATTTGGAAATGAATTTGATAAAAAGAAATCCATTGGTGTTAAAAAAAAATCCTGATTTTCAGTAATTAGCAAAGCGTGCTTGATCCCAGACACTTTTGATGTGTGTATTTAAAAAATTGTGCATTGCTTTCAACTGCAGCACCGAGCAAGACCAAAACACGCGCACGTTTTAAATTTCTCGGACATGAGGCATTGAAAGCAGGGCTATTGCTGATACAGGTTTTACACGTTAGCGGATGTGGATGTTGATGCTAATTTTTGATCTTAATATCAGCAGATTCAAATGCGGATGCTGATTGAATGTACAGTCAAGAGCACGTCAAGCTAGACACTTTGTACTTTGGACCGTTCTTATCGTAAGCTGGATTTAAATCTTAACTGTCAAGCTTGACGTGCTCTTGATCCTGTATCTAAATGAAAAAGCTATTTTATGATTTTGATTTTTTTAATGTACTTGTAACATTTATTAATAAAAAAAAAGTACCCTGAGTGAAACTAAAATGAAACTATTAACTAAACTTCGCTGTAATAACTGTAAGTATAAAAAAGGTCCTCTGAGTAATCCCATAAAACGAACAAAAAGATTCCATTGTAGTAACGACTTCAAGGAATAATCTACATAGGTAAAACTTACTTATTTTTAACTTACTTCAAAAAAAGGATGAAGTTCTCAATTCGACTGTACTTTTTTGTTACGCGATAATTTGTGAACCGAATTTGATGATTCTTTTTTGTTGGAAAGAGGGTACCTCAGGAGTAGTCCCATTTAAGGGTGGCAAACTAGGGGATGAATTTCGCGTTCCGGTTTTGCATACCTTCCGGTAACCGATTTCAGTAAAACATGGCAAACAGATGTAATTCCACGAAATTTTGATCTAAAGTGTGAGGTGAGATTATTAATATTATTAAGATTATTAATAAACGGGACTAGAATTATCTATTTTTAATCTTCGACGCAAAAAGAGGGGAGTTATGAGTTGGAAACCTTTATCTGTGTAGCTCTGTGTCTGTATCTTCCTTTGGCATCGTAGTTCATAAATGATTGGGCTGATCTCAAAGCGGTTTTCTTTCATTTGAAAGCTAGTTTAATCGACAAGGTTGACCGCTTTGTATGATGAACGTCTGTTCAGTTGTTCAAAGACCGTCAGCACCTTTTCCAATTAGTGCAGGCATCTCAGTCATAAAGTGTTTTTTTTTGGACACATGCATAGACAACCAAACTGTTTTTTATAACGCGTACACGCTTATAGTCCGCACTAGGGAAGCTCTGTATCGCGGGTGCCATGGACACATACATACACAACTACAAATTACACCTAACCTCACGAGAGAAATAAATGTAGGCCATACAAATATTTCTACCCGCCCGGGAATCCAACCCGGGACCTCTGCGTAGCAGTCCAGCATAGTAATCGTTCGGCCACGGAAGCAGTTAAATTTATTTTACTTCCACTTGAACTGTGAACTTAAACAACTTGAAATTAGGTGTACTTTTTAAATTCGATGACATTACAATCAAGTGATTTTGATTGATCTGACGTTGCAACCAGGACCTCAAGTCTTAAGATTATGTGACTTAAAAAATACATTAAATTTGAAAACTAATTTGCTAACTTAAGCGAGATAATAATAAAGATATGCATAGTAATTTCCTCGTTCAGTTCAGTTCACTGATCATTAGTGATTGAATAAATGAATGACATCAGTGCAATTCCTCTCTGACACTCTATTCCAACTCAGCTGCCATCTTAGCAGAATAACAAATATTCTCATAATTGTAACATAATTTCAGTGGAGTCGCAATCGAATGAAAATTTGCAGAATTCTGGACAGTGCAGACTACTCAACTCCCTAACTATTTACATTAGAACTATCGTGCTTGGGCTTGTTAAATTAGTTTCGCCAAGTTGCGAACTTACGGATGGTGATTGGTGAATTTATTGAGTTTTCGGTTACATTGTTTTGTGTCGAGGGTTTTTAAATTTACCACTTTAAGACTTATATTTGTGACAAGAAGTAGCCCATGTCCTTCTTCTAGGTCTCATCTATCTCTAATCTCTATACCATAGTTTACCAAAGTGGTCCCTACCCCAGTGAGCGGCGTAGAGTCCTGGGGCGGTAGGGGCTCGGAAGCAATTGTGTGGGTGGGGGCTTGATGCCGTCCAACGTAGCTACCGCATTTGAAAAAAAATTCTGGATTACCTATATAAACTACACTACATATGTATTTTTTCCTTATAATTATTTTTAGTTTGTGATTTTATTTCAAGTGGCGATATGACAATCAAATTTTTGAAATATTTAAAAGAATAAATATTTTGATTACAGTATTTCAATAGTTTTATCACCGGGAACTAAAGGAATAATTTAAAAGTCGATATTAAGTGGATACTTTCACTTGTTATTACTGATGGGAAAAACTTTTTTATTGTTCTATTTTTTTTAAAAAAGCGTGCTTTTTTAGACGCTTTTTAGTTTGAAGCTTCAAAAATCGTTTGAAATACGTTTAAACGCATACACTTTTATGTTAAAAAAGCTTGTAACGTTGCGTTGAAAGCGAAAATCAAAAGTATACCACTAAAGGTTTTAAGTTAAGTAAGTTTATTTACTAATTAATTTATTATTCACATTGAGGAATAAATTTATTCAGGAAACATAAATGGTGAGACTTGAAACTTAGGCACGTTGTAAAAAATGAAATTGCTGAGTATAGTATTTTTTTAAATGCTTTTCCTTTAAACGCCCACCTCCACTTGTTATACAAGCGTGACGTCACAATATTGGAATAAATATTTGATTGCGCCAACAAAGAATGTATTTTTAATGCGATTATACCATTATATGAATTTGATTTAAATGTAATAATTATTCTGAGATTCAATGCTAGAACATGATTATATGAGACAATCAAAAAAGTGGAAGAAAACCCATAGTACCTCTATTATTTCGTAAGTTCAATGTGTAAAATAGCTTCAAAATAATTTATTCATGTATTCATGGGCAATTTGAGTTCAGGGAATATTAAAGAACACAAAAAAACATTGAATAACCGTGCGTACAGAATTCCATACGAATATTTTATTTATTATTTACAATATTGCATCTGTCGCAGTGATGGTAAGAGGCATGACGGTATGACTGTCGGTCCATGGAAGCTAGGGAGACAGCTAGTGTGGGACGCAACCTGTGTGGACACTGTACCACCCTCTCATGTCCTTGCAAGCGTAGGCGGCACAGGCTCTGTGGCCAGATTGACCTAGAACCACAAAAGGCTCAAATACGCCAACCTTGCTCTATGCTACAACTATTTACTTTTTTTATGTATCTACCTGGTACTATATATATTTAGGAACACTGCCATTTAAAAAAAATGTATGTAGAATTAGTAACAAATTATCATTTTGCAATGTCATTTTGTTATTAAAACTTACATTTTAAAATATTATAGAAAAAATTACATGGAACGCTTAAAGTAACGTCGAAAACTTTTTTTTTAATATACGAGTACGCACAAAAGTAAAACAAAAATAATAGTAGTAAACGTAAAATCCTGTAAATTTATGTATTTCATGGTGTTTATGACTGTGGTGTGTGTGATTTGTGAACAAATTACCTAATAAAAAATCATTCATCCCCTAGTTTGCCATCTTTAGATGTGGAATATGTTCTTCAAATTTAAATGGGACTAGTACTGAGGTACCCTCTTTCCAACAAAAAAAGAATCGTCAATATCGGTTCACAAATTGTGAGCCGTATGCCGTTAATTGTGAGTTATCGCATAAC